ACAGACAGACAGACAGACAGAGAGAGAGAGAGAGAATGAATCGTCCAGTAATGAATTCTGTTGGATGCCTCCACGGGCTGACCCGCGGAGCCCGCTGAGAGTCCAACGAAGTTGATGGCCCCTCCGCCTACAGTATCCCTCCCCCGCGAAACCGTGGAAAGCGTGGGAAGAAAGACGGAGATAAACTGGAAGTAACATGGTAACAGGAAGAACATCAGGATGGTCAACACGAAAGCCCTTAAGTGTCTCGGGGAACCTCAGGCCTCGCGGGGCATGTTGGAGATTCGTTGGAGCCAACACAGCGCCCACATGTTGGAGATTTGTGGGACGTAAGGAAGGTCATCTTTTTTGGGGAACTCGCCATACAAGTGGAGGTCCGCGCGGGTCCTTTAGGTGGCTTTCTTTGAGCTTCTTCCAGGTTGTTGGTCCATGTTCCTCGCCCATCCCTCAAAAAGATCTTGGAAAGAGCAGGCCCTAGGCCCCAGGCCGAATCATGAATTAGACTCCATTTTCGCACAGGTTGTAAAGCACCTACCAAGTCGACATCTGAACCTGGCTTTTTCAAAATACCACACCCATCAGGTGCCTGCTGCCACCGCGCAGGCGTGATCTGAAGATGGATGTTGGCTAACTTGCTTGACTAGAAGCAATGACTAGAGTTTCACCGTGGAGCTGTTTTGTTGGGCCGAATGTGAACTTCTTCCATGACAAGCCTTAGGAAGGGCAGGAATTTGGATCATGGCACTTTAGCATGTACTCTTTCGGTTTGCACAATTTGCAGAAGATACGAACATGAGTTGTTTTGGCAAAATCATTGCAATGTTGCCACCGCCCCTATGTTTGACTCATTAAAAAAGCATCAAGTCATCTCAGGTAGCAAAGGCAGGTCCTCACCTAGTTGCAGGTCCACGGACCCCTCTGAAAAGCCCTTTTCTCCTCATTTCTCCCCATAGCTTCCCATATCTCATCTTAGCACAGACGTGTCACGACCTGTTGGAAAGCCTGGACTGGGCGAGGGGGGATCCGTCTGGGATCGGCAGGGCGTCGCCGGCTTGAGCAGTTCGGTGTCCTCTGCGCGATCGCAGGCGCGGTGGTTTACAGCCCCAAAAAGGTCGTCGCGCAATGAGTTCAGCTCGAACACCTGCGAGCTGTTGTTTTCACAGGTGGTTTTGGCCGGATGATGGTGGTGTCAGCATAGATGGTCACTTTTGATGCGTCACCACGTCTGAGTGCTGCACTTCCCAGGGTCATGCTGCTGTCCGGGCACCTAGAGCTGTCGATTCCATGCATGATTGGAACCAGTCTCTAGAAACCCAGCGACGGGCAGGTTTGGAGATCAATGTGATATCAACATTTTTCCACCTACCTGTGAGTTTGCTCTTTTTGCCAATGAGTGAATGAACATTTTGTCCTATTTTTGAGCACTGGCCACACATATATAGTCGTTGTAGCTGGCCTCGACCGTCCCCATGATCCTTAATTGAGTATGGTATGATCAGCGGAAGACACCCGCACTTCAGGGCGTTGCTGGTTTGAGCAGTTCTGTGTCTTCCGCACGATCACAGGTTGGGTTGACCATTGCGTTCCAGTCCAGAGTCAGGGTGATTGCTGCAGTTCTGCTGTGTTGTTTTGATGTTTGTTCCTTTTTAGATGGTAGTGGGTCAGGAACACATAGTGCTAGTGATTGCTATGCTTTCCCGCACTGGCCTTGTGGTCTGGTCCTTCTTGTTGCTGCACCCGCCAGGGCCATGGCGTGGTTGGGAAACCTGGAAACGTTTTGCAACGTACCGGGGACAGTGGATCATCGAAGCGCAGGTTTTGCCGTTTGATCTGGTCGGCTGCAACACCTTCGAAGCCAACAGGTCTATTGGGTCTTGCCTCAAAAGGCGCATCCAGTTTGTTTTCCGGTTGGGGTTTACCACTTGTGCAGTCTTCAGGAAAAAAGAACACACACACAAAACACATTTTCCCGGCAACCATTTTCCACTTCCGTTTGATGAAGATGGGGTCATTGCGTGGACGTCAGGCACTTCAGTTTGTCCATTTCTTTTTGCGATCAGCGATCATTGCAAGGGGCAGATCGTCGCTGGCTTGAGCAGCAACGTCTCCTCTGCCAGATCTCAGCAGGCTGAAAGAAAAAAGCGGCTGTGTATTGGACCGATTGGGGGGAACTTGATATCAGAAACAGACACTGCAGCATTTTCGAGTTCCACTTCAACTGCAGGTAGATGGAGGGCTGCTGGCGGACACGATCTTGTCCAAGGACAAAGCGGGGAGCCTCAGCATTGCAACTGACAGCTCTGCATCACCAAATTGTGCGTCGTACTCAATATATAAATCCAAGCTACTTCGAGCATAGAAGCATTCCCCCATAGCCAGTTTCGAAACCGATAATGTTCGGCAACCCAACAGAGCAGAAAACCTGGTGGGTTGTTCATGTCAGATGTCTCTTCTTTCGGCGCGTTATTTTTCGAAACAGATTTTCAGATAGAAAGTCCTGCTTGGCAGTAGTTCTTTTATGCTCTTTTTGGTGAAGGCCAATTGGCAGACCCATCAGTTGCACGCGTGCGCGAGGTTGAGGACGATGACAACAACTCCTGGGATGAGGAAGGCGCCCTCGCCCTCGTCGCGCCCCACGGGCGGTCACTTCGTTGGGTTCGTTGGGTTCGGTTCGTTGGCACGGCCCCAGGGGCCCCAGCTGGTCGCTTCATTTTTCCCGTTGAGATGGCTTAAGCTGCACTTATTCCGAGCTACACAGATGAGTCACAGGATGTTCCCATGAAAGACAAGGAATCTCCAGATCTTTCTGTTCTTCTGACAAGGAATCTCCAGATCTCCATAAAGGGAATCTCCAGATCTTTCTATTCTTCTGACTTCTTAAGAATATTTCGGTGAGGGTTAGATCTTCGGCATGTTTCCCACCCACCTCCACCTTCAACTGAGCGTCTCCTCACTCGCCAGGTGGAGGTGGTGACGGGTCGGACGACCCGGGAAGAAACGCCCTGGTCGGACGGATGGTTGTTGATGGGACGGCGGGACGGAGAATGGGTCACCCGTGCTTCAAGAAGGCTCAGTCAAGATAACATATATATATATATATAAAGGTATCATGCTATGCCTCCTCCTCCTCCTCCTCATCATCATCATCATCATCATCATCATCATCATCATCATCATCATCATTTGGGACAAGATGAATGTAACCAGAGGACCATGAGGACCCATGATGTGCTTGGTGTCACTGCAGTCAGGCCGGCTGGACTTTTGGGGACTGCCATCTCGAACCAACTGCTGTGCTGAGGTTCTTACCAACTCTGACTGAGGAGCAGACGTGCCACACAAGAGATTTACTGTACTGTAAGTGTTCGGCACTTTGATTTTTTCTCAAGACCTCTGGCCTTGCTTTGTGCTTTGTCCCATGAGTGTCCCGAAGCTGGTGTCTCACAGGAACATGCTTTTACAAGATCCACCAGTTTCAAGAGGTTTCACCCATGGATTCGCTTTATGACGTTCACCTCTCCAGACACCGAGTTTCGCAAGGAGAAACCCGTGCTCTCCGTGGTGCCTCCAGCCACGACCAGTCCACCGGTGGCACCGCCGGTGGCACCACCGGTGGCACCTCCCGTGACGGCTCCGGTGGCGTCTCCGGTGGCGCCGGCGGCGTCCATCGCCCCGCCGGCGGCGGTCGCGCCGGTGGCGGCGTCCATCGCCCCGGTGGCGTCCGCGCAGGAGCGCCGCTGCGGGGGGAAGGAGGGCTTTTTCGAAGTCGTGAATTCCTTTGTGCATCGTTTTGGGAAGGCAAGGGGCTCGGGGTGGTCCGTAGTGCTTTCCAGATGTCAACCTTCTTCTTGTCTCTTTTTGGAGGGTTGAAAGTACCCAGACATGACTGACTGGGTGAACTGATCCAGCACGCCACAACCAATCTACACTTCGCGGCACTGCCACCTACTCCCTTCTTGACACGTTCTTCACTGTACATCAGAAGGATGAGCATGCATAGCGTTCTTCTCTTGCAGGCCTCCAGAGGAAGTGACTGGCAGTCCACCGGCGAGTATTGCCTTTTTTGGATACACTTTGCACAAGCGCAAAAGCAAATCGCTTGCATGGAAGATGCAATTTTTGCAATCTCTTGCTGGGCTTGAAGATGCTTTCAAAGTGTAGTGAACTCTTGAAACTTTCGGCTTTGGCATAGCATGTTGTCTTGTCACGGTCCTTCCATGCTGCTCTTTGGTTTCCAACACGCCAGGACAGATCATCAGCAGAGTTTGTCGGGTGCTGACAGGGAGGCAGGTGCACGAAATGTCAATTGAGAATCTCACAGAAAGAAAGACAGTCCCTGTTGGTTGTGACAGATAAGTACTTTAGTTGGTTGAGTAGAAAGAATCCATCTTGAAGTAAACAGTCACAATCTCACAGAAAAAGATCCTCTTGACTCCAAGATCCTGTTGTGACCCCTCCGGCCTGTAGCGAAGCGCTTTTCACGTCTTCCAGGCGGCGAAGACCAGTGCACGTGACCGGTGCGCCGGGGCGCACCGTCGTTCTCCCTTTCCCCTGAAACGAAGATTGCAGGTCAGACATCGTTTTGCCTATAAGACCCTATAAGTTATCCGACATCGTTTTGCCAAAGAAAGATCCAAGTTAGTTATCCCATGTTATGCCTGCCTCCCAACCTGCCAGACAAGAGCCCTAGGCCCTCCCAACTTGCTTCGCTCGCACTCACCGCACTCGACCTCGGCGTTCCCCGTTTGGGGTGCCAGGGCGATGAACGAGTTCGGCTTCGACGACGACGAGATGGGCCGCGATCGCGCCAACTCCTGGGACGCCCGGTACGACGACGGCGACGGTGTCCGGTGGAACAGACGGTGGTTGTTTTCCGGAGGGCGCGATCAAGTGGTGGAAGGAGGAGGAATGGGTTTGATGCTGAGATCCAGACGTGTGGAATGATTTTAATTGTGGCTTTTCATGCTGAACATCTGAACTGCAGGCAGAAACAAAGGTTTGTCATGAATTTCTACCTGCGGGTGGGGAAGTGCTGAGACACACCGAGCTCAAGAGGTGTGTTGTCTTCGAGATGCGCATCATGCATGGTGCATTGCGTAGCACCAACCGCATGAGCATGCATCGCATAAGACAGGGGCCGTCTGACATAGCTTTAAGGAAAGCTCTACTCCGTTCAGACTGATTGTGCAAGCTTGGATGATTGAAAGGGAGAGAAGGTGGAAGAGACTGTCTGAAAACAATGATACATTCCATTTCTTGGAGGATGGCCATCCCCAGAGGTCAAACCGCACTGTCGGTCCAACACCGTAGGTCTTTTCTGGACGCTTGGCCCCTCTGACTCGGGTTCCCCCGATGGTAGCCAAGGACTCTGACTGAGCGCGGGGATTTGAAGCCGTTGTTGTTTTATTTGAAGATTTTGCCTCATGCCAGTGGCTCTGGGTCATAATTGCAAGACACCCTACGCCGGCCCTACGCATTTCTACGCTTGTTCTGTGGGCTGGCCGGTGCTCGTGAACAATCATCTCAATGTAAGGAGTGGCCACCCTGTCCATAGTTTTGGGCATTCTAGTGGTTTTTGACCTGCAGCCATGTAGGTTGCATCAAAGATGGCAAGAGCTTCGGTACAAGAACTTTGTGCCACTGTCCATAACGCATGTGTGCAAGTTCAGAGGTGTTTGGGCCCGAGCAGTGACCGATCACAGATCTTTAAGCTGCAAACACCTCTGCAATTCAAGAAAACGCCACCATTTGCAACGGACAAAGGCGAACTCAAGAACTATATGTACCTGTCCTGGTCAAGCATCTTCAATATTGATATCTCCAGTGACCTGCAACAGTGAATGAAGAGATTGAAGGAAGTGTGGAACCTTTTCGTGTTCAAAGGGTGTTTTTTTTCCAGGACTGTCAGACTGTGACTTAAGTCCAGAGCCACCATCGCCGTGGAAGATGAACCAGCATGTGATCCAACCGGAGCTCGTCGTCTCGGCGTGTTTTGGCCGTCTTGGCTGGAAGAGCGGCATGTTTTGACAGCGTGGACTGGCTGGATTATCTTGTCCTGGACCTTGAATGGAAGACTATATATACACAAACACACATACATATCACATATATATATATATATACATAATGTATAGGAGCTCGAGTCTATGATATATTAGCATTTTCCCACATCGCAACCTGAGCCACGAAAGAGAAGGACACAAGCAGCAGGGAGCCACAAGAAACATTCCAGCCGCATCAAGCCGCGCCAAACACACACGACTCTCCGCGCGAAACGGTGCCACCTTTAGCCGTCCTTTTTGGTCAACGAACGCGGCTCCACGCCGCCTCATCCGGGGAAGATGGCCGCTCCATCTCAGGTGCGGATGATCGGAGGATCGATTGGGTATCATATCTCAGCCACGAGTGAAACCATGCCAGGGCCCCCCAACATGGGGTTGTCATGATTGATTTTGAGAAAGCTCGGGATCCACAAACCAAAAGCTTTCCATTGGTTTGGCCGTTTTATTGGTGCTGTGGCCCTGCCAGTCTCTCACGGACAAGCGCCAACTACGAGGCCGGCTTGGGAGCGGACGGACTTTATTTTTTTCTGACGAAGAAACGGATCAACAACAACGCGTTTTATTTTTTAGACGTTTGTTCTATATTATTTGCTGTGTTTTTGATGTTAGAGGACATGTTGAACATGTAGCAGAAGTAGCTTCTCAGGCTCCCTAAATGTTTCAGGCCACTACTGTTGATGGAAGAAATCCTGCAGCTCAGCTGCAATAATTCTTCCATCAACAGGAGTGAAGGGATCTGGCATTTGGGGCGTTTGCGTGCAGTTGAGGGGTGCAAACCTGCGCCTTTGAGAGAAAAACATTTGCTTTTCCCCGCCGAAAAAGGGGTCCTTCAGATTTCCACCAATGTCAAGGTTGATTTCCTGAGAAGAACAGTGACATTGAAACCCGTTGAAGGCAGATGATGACACCCGCAAGCGAAAGAAGACAACACGAGCATGTTTTGAGTGCGCAGGCCGAAGAGGACCCGTGGCGCTTGACACTCAGTTGGATGTCGGTGACTGATTCACCTATTTTTTCAGCGATTCCAGCCGTCATTGATTTACTGGTCTTTACTGAACAACCAGTGTTTTACAAAGGATTTGGACTACAATACCAGCTCAACCTTTCTTTCAATGGTCTTGAGAAGCTAGGGTATACAGCGAAATCACCGTTTACGAAGTGCACTACGAAAAGCAATCGCCCTCATCGTTGGGAGAAAGACTCCATTATGCATATTTTTGTTTTGTTCTCATTGAATGTTGTGAAATGGTATCACACTTTTCACAAAGCCAGCTAGCACGAAAGCACAAACTGTGCCCAGCATTCCTCACCCGACCGAAAAGCAGAGATCTTCCAAAGGGGCCTGGCTTGCATAAAAATAGCTTTCGAAGCATGGTCGTTGCATCGAAATCGCACTCGCTTCCAAAGTCAGCCGTGGATGGCTTTTCCAAAAAATGCTATGTTTGTTGGACTGATCTCTTTTCATCTCTTTTCTTCTCTCTCGTGGTCAGAGCTGATGTTCTCAGATTCTCGCCGGCAAGTCACCAAGTCATGTGGGTGTGGGTGAAAACCTGGGCACCCTGGTTGACCACCCAAAATGAACCGATACCTCTGATTTCCTTTGATTTAGTCTGATTTCAGGGATGAAACCACCGAGTGAAACCATGGCTTTGGTGGGATTGAGGGCTGGTTGGTTCCTCTTCAAGCCCTGTGGCTCGCTGCTTGGTTCCTCACAGCCCTTTGGTTCCTCACCACCGCTCGGGAGGCCGGTCGTGGAGACGCTGGAAGACAGCTGGGTGGACAGGCGATGAGTACGCACGGTGTCGAAAACCACGCCACGTGGGGTCGCCGGACCTCGGAACAGTCTGGTTTTCTGCGCATGTTCGAGGAAAGTCCGCTGCAACGTATCGTACCAGGGCAGACAGCTGCAATTCAGGTGGTGTTGGAGTTCATTAAAAGGAAGGACAAGAAGCCCGAACTGGCGGAGCTGAACTATAGGCATTGGGTTACCTTCATATGCTTTCAGTGGTGTGTTGCTGGTCTTCCGGATCGTACCTTCCTTTTTCCTGCTATCCAGGTCGACCCCAGGTCCAGCGACTGGTCCGATGCGCGACGTCGACTCCAACGGTTCATCCTTTCGTTGGGCATGTTTGGAACCCTTTCGAGACGTGGCGGAACCATTCACTTCTGCCCTCCTCGAGGTCTGTCCCATGTTTTTTTTGAGAAGGGGGGTCAACGTTTGTGTCGAACTCTGAAAACCATCCTATCATCTAAACCATCCTCAGCGCCCTTCGGGCGCTACCCTCGGCGCTACCCTCAGCTCCGACTCGTCGTAGACCTCGTCGCTGGGCGTCGAAAAGGCTCGAAGATGGCCGTGCCTTGCGGAAAGGCCGACCACTTCCCGCGGTCCGGTAAGGTTGCGCGCGGTCGGGTGTTTGAGCGATTTTGCCGGAGAACAACCATCCCCACGTGGCGAAGATTGCTGGGGGTGAACAAACACGGATTTCATCTCTCAGCATCTCTCAGCTAAGACTCTCAGCTAAGCCAGCTAAGCAGGATGGAGATGATGGAGCAGGAAGAGACGGAGCAAGAAGAGCGAGTTTGGGCAGTAAATCTTAAGTTGTTCTTGCACCCAGCAATCTTTTCCCCACCAGAACTGCCATCAAGAAAAGAATGTCTGTTGGGAGAACAACCCAAAGTGAACTGGTCCTGCAGCTGTTCGTCTACCCTCCGACATGCTTGCAAGCTTCTATGCAACTACGAAGTTGATCTTGGGAGTGATTGGTGGATTTCTCGCAGGCCAGCTAGACATGGAGGGGCTGGAACGATGCTATCCCACACCACCGCCAAGGCCAGGGTTGTCGACTTGAAGCTTTAGGGAAATCGGACTGGGCCACTGGACAATTTTCTGGAGTGGCTTGGACAGGATTTTTTGGGTTGTCGAGGGAACGAAAAGGGGGGGTGGAATCGAAAGAGACGAGGCATGGCGTCAGGCTCTTTCATGGCGTCAGAGTTGATCCTACATCGATACTTAACTGTTAGAATGTTAAAAATCAGTGTGTGGAAAAAATCTGGCAGTGTTGGTCAACCTTTTCATCTGCCAAAGCAGTGCCAAATCATCCGATGCTCATGCCGTGCTGGAGTTGTCTTGAGCTTGCACTGAGGGCAGCGCCAAGTGCTGCTGAAGCCTCCTCAACCTCAACCTTGCCCATCTTCAAAAGCAAGGACCTTCCAGAGGTTGGGTGATTTGATCTGCCCGTAGTGTTGCAGCCGTTCTGTTTGGGACTGGCAACTGACCCATTGCTCAGGAAGAGCTGGAGCAGATGCGCCGGGCCATGCGAGAAAACAGGCTCCAGCAGCTTCAGCAACGGCTGGGTGGCCCAAGTACTCGTAAGGGACACTTGATCGTCTTGTTTAAGAGTTCCTTCGCTTCAGGTCCAACAGAGTCCATCCACATCCAAAGAGAAGGTCATTAACACACATCTTAGACCCTCGAGAGGTCACCCCCAATACTGCCTGATACAACCATGCGCCCGGCGGCGACAAGGCGACCTCTTCGCGAGGAGCGGGGGAAGCAGGGCCTTGGCGCGTAGAGGAAGATCGACTGGTGGAGGTGGGTGAGTAGAAACGAACGAAACAACCAACATCTCCAAAGTCATGTAAGTCCAAAAAGGATCAGGTATATCCTGGTGCTCCCCCTCTTCTTCTTCTAACTCTACTACAACTAGAACTACTGCTGCCACTGCTACTGCTACAGCTACTGCTACTGCTACTGCTACTGCTACTGCTACTCCTTCTACTACTACTACTACTACTACTTCTACGACTACTACTACTACTACTACTACTACTACTACTACTACTGACTACGACTACGACTACGACTACGACTACGACTACGACTACGACTACGACTACGACTACGAC